CACACACAGAGCGAGAGAGAGAGCGAGACACACACACAGAGCGAGAGTGAGAGCGAGAGCAAGAGAGAGAGGGGGACACACACACAGAGAGCAAGAGAGAGAGAGAGCCACACACAGAGCGAGAGAGCGAGAGAGCGAGAGCGAGAGCGAGAGGGACACACACAGAGTGAGAGAGACACACAGAGTGAGAGAGAGAGTGAGAGAGAGACAGACACATACACAAAGAAAGCGAGAGAGAGAGAGGGGGACACACAGAGAGCAAGAGCGAGAAAGCGAGAGCGAGAGAGAGAGGGACAGCGAGAGAGAGAGAGGGACAGCGAGAGAGAGAGAGGGACACACCCACACAAAGAGCAAGAGCGAGAGAGCGAGAGACACACAGAGAGCGAGAGAGGAAGAGAGAGCGAGAGCGAGAGAGAGAGAGGGGACACACACACACACAAAGAGCAAGAGCGAGAGACACACACACAGAGAGCGAGAGAGCCAGACACACACACACAAAGAGAGAGAGAGACACAGGAGAGAGAGAAAGAGAGAAAGAGAGAGAGACACACACAGAGTGAGAAAAAGAGAGAGAGAGCGAGAGAGACACAGACACACACAGACAGAGAGACAGACAGACACACACAGACAGACAGAGAGAGAGAGAGATAGACAGACACACAGAGAGAAAAATTGTGCTTAAGCCACTAATCTAGAATGCACTGCGGTTGTTCAGTACCTGCGCTCCAGAGACGATTGACTGGAAACCAGATCCACAGAGTCTGTTTACAGTTAAGGCAGGTACTGGGATTGGAATTCCAACTTGTAGTCCAACATGTCTTGCAATATAAGCAGCATCTGGAGAGCTCTTTATTTAAAACAAAAGGAGATATTTATTTCAACTTGTGTCAAATCCCACTACTTTAACAAGACAGGGTAAAGTCTGATAGATGTTATGCATGTTTCATTGAAGTAGATTACTTTAAAAGGAAGGTAGACCATTTTTACGCACCAGCACTGACTTAATTCTATACTACCACTAGCTGCAAGTAGAAATTTACTTATAAAAATGTCTGATTCCAACATGAACAGTGGGAAATTTATAATGAGGTCATAAAGAAAAATAGTCAATATTGAGAAACATCCTCTTAGTTCACTTAGGCTGATTGCCTCTCAGTATTCCACCTTTACAAGTTGAACTTAAGAGTTAGGAGTAATTCAGCCCCTCAAGCTCGCGCCACCATTTTAATACAATCATGTCTAACCTCACCTTGGCCTCAACTTCACTTAACTGCCCACTCTCCATAGTTCATCAACCCTTAGACAAATTTTTAATTCACAATGGCCTCCTTAGATTTACTCCATGTCCTGAATTCACCGCACACTGGGCTAGTGAATTCCACAGATTCACGATCCTTTGAGAGAAGCTACTCCTCCTCATCTCCATTTTAAATCTTCAACCCCTTATCTTAAAACCATGACTGCTTGTTCTAGATTGCCTCACACGAGGAAACATCCTCTCTAATGTTCACTTCGTCAATCCCCTTTGGCATCTTATATATCCCAATTAGATCTCCTCCTCTTCTAAACTCCAGAGAGTACAAGCTTAATCTCTCTTCATAAAGCAAACCCTTAATCTCTGGAATCAAGCTACTAAACCTCCTCTGAACTGCCTCGAATGTAACTTAATTCTTCCTCAGGTAAGGGGATCAAAATTGTACACAATATTCCAGGTATGGGCTCACCAATGACGTTTCGAGCCACTAGAGGACAGTGGAACTGATATAACCACCCAGTCTAATCATCAAAATTTTATTTAGAACCACTAGGAAAGTGAGAGGTAAAGCTTTTTAGACTGACCACTGCACTTTTTAGTCATTACTGGTGAGGATCCAGAGTAATGTGCTTGTTTGCTAAGGAAAAGCAGTATGATCAGAAGGGGGCTATAGAATAAAGCAGATACTCCAGGGTTTCTTAAAATATAATTAAAAGATCAATGTTGACCTTTACTGAAATCATCTGTACAGAAAGGGTGAGCATTCATGCGCTTGTATTTCTAAATACTCAGGAATTCAGATAAAACTAATGAATCTCCATTCCTTCTTCACGCTCCTTGTCAGTGAAGTCCCTAACACCATAGTCACCTTTAGATTCAAATCTTCCAACACTCTTAAGTTTCCTGTCCTTCATCTCCTATAAACTCAATGTTTTCCACACATCCTGCTCCAAATTCAGAGTCCACTCCCCCATCACCTACATCTTGCTGAACAGGTGTCTTCTTAGCCAATGCCCAATGCTACTTCTGCAACTGCCTCCAGTGCTTCTGAACATCCCATATATTTTCACCCCATCATAGGTGGGGCCTTCCTCAAACTCCCACTGCAGATTTCTATTCAAAATTTCTCCTCTCAAAATATATATATAATATTCAGCTTGACTTGGTGGCAGCCTCTCATCAGAGAGTTAGAGGTTGTATATAACCTAGCTTGCCTAAATTAAAAATACCATTGAGGTAAGGAAGTTAGATTCATATTATATTAAAACCGGTATTGACTGAACCAATGAAATCTAATCATTACTGTTAAACAATATGCCTTAAATGATTCGTATCAACATTACCAAATCAAGTTTTTGTATATGCCTCCTGAGAGTGCAAGAAACACAATTACCTACAAAATGTTACAAAAGGCACAAATTTTTTAAAAATAGTTTTCAGTAATACTGAAAAGTGTGAAAGCTGTTGAGGTTAGTGTGACAACACTTCACAAAAGACGAGGTTCAGCAATATTAGTGAATCTGAGAATTGTTAAGAAAAAGTTGCAAGGCTAAGTTCCAAAACAAACTATTGGTGAAATTCAGGAGATCTGTTATCAAACGTAGTGGCTTGACTCTTCAGAGAGAGAAAAGAGGAAACCTCAAAAATGATGATTTAGTCCTGAAAAGTTTGAAGTCATGCGTTTTGGGAGAATTAAACGAGGCAAGGGAATATATGATGTGTTATTTAGGTGAATACTTGAAACGCTATAACAAATAAAGGTAATGACTAAGTCCTAGAAAACAGGATTACAGTAGATAGGTGCTTAAGTGACCAGCATGAATATGATGGGCCAAAGGACCTCCTTCTATGCCGTAAAAGTTTTTGACCAGAGACACTTTGCAGTCTGATGACAGCAATTTGCCATTAACTCTCTAACCTCCTGTAATATCAAGTTCTATATTTTTAAATATCTATGTCAAATTAGTTGAACTTAAATAGAAGCATTACTGTTTCCTCAGTGTTCCTAGAATAAAGATAAAAAGATTCAATTAATATTTGAAATGATGCTTGTGCAATCACGGGTCGGTTACGTGGATACATTAAGTGAATGAAAGGAGCTTAGTTAAAGAGGAGTTTTCTGCACATGCATCAATATCTCCAGAGTTCCTGCCCAGCGACAGAAATGTTTGAAAAAAAAGGCTTAGAACATAATGGCAGCTGCAGTGTTCCGACTCTAAAATTGTGATCCGCCTCATACTGACCTGCATTACATTTCCAACAATGATGCTGTCCACCAAGTCATAGTCAACCTTTCCAGCAGTGAGTGCAGCTCTTGCAGCATGTGTAGCTAAATCTGTGGCAGTGTGATCCTTCAGTACTCCTCCATATGTACCAAAAGGGGTACGTTTGGCAGCAACAATGAATACACCTTTAAATAAAAGCAAAGCAAGTTACAGCACTTTAATACTACTGAACAACATCCTCTACAACCTTGCAGAAATAAAAATATAGTAATGTGAAAAGAACATTCTAAATAATTATATTAACAGTTCAGTAAAGCATGATTCTTAAGCCACTTTCCTGATAAATTTCTCACAAATGGGTTATTTTGGAATGCAATGACTTTTGTAGACAGACAGACCAATGTTTCATCTCCAAAATAAAATCTTCATTAATGCAGCAGTTCCTTGGTACTAGACTGGACAGTCATTTTGGATTAGAGTGTGGATTCCTGATCTGAAATTTAAATCTATATCTGACAGACAGGAGTTCTACCAATTGTTAGTTCATTAGTGCTAATTTCTCACTATTGTCAACAACATACAACTGTTCACAGTCCCACATTAACTTTCAATACAGCAGCACCTCAATTTTAAAATGCTTATCTTTCGTTACATATCTCTTCTTGCCCTTTTACCTCCTATTCTTGTAAACCCCTGCAACCTGGCAATGCTCCCACATCTGTCCTTCAATTCTGGCCTCGTATGACGAGATTTCTTCATTCTAATACAGGAGAACATGGCTTCAAAAGCCTAGGCCCTAAGCTCCAAAATCCAATCCTAAATGTCGCCACTGCCCAACTCCTCCCTGAAAATGCTCCTTTAACCTACTACTTTGACTAAGTTCTTAGTCATCTTTTGGTTTGTTTCCTTTATTTTTAATATTAAATCACCCACAGGATCACAGAATCATACAGTACAGAAGAAGCCCTTCGGCCCATGGAGTCTGTACTGCCAAAAACAAACTAAATCTATACTAGTCCAATCCATCCCAACTACACTCTGGGCAGTTCCCTACCACCCTCTGGGTTAAAAAAAATTTCCTCAAGATCCCTCTAAATTATTAGGTGAAAGGCAGAAAATTATGACCCCTTGTTACTGACGCTTCAACTAGGGGGAAAACTGGTACTTTCTAGCCCCTCTTGACACTTCAATCAGGTTCCCTCTCAGCTTTCTCTGCTTGATTCGCTTCATAGCTAAAATGTTTCTTAAGACCACAAGATACAGGAGCAGAATTAAGCCATGTGGCCCATTGAGTCGGCTCCACTGTGTAAAAAAATTCAACACCCCTTCTCCTCATAATCTTTGATCACCTAACTGATCAAGAACCTATCTTTATCTTGAATACACTCAGTGACTTGGCCTCCACAACCTCCTGCAGCAATGAGTTCCATAATTCACCACACTCTGGCTGAAGAAATTCCTCCTCATCTCAGTTCTAAAGGGTCATTCCTTCACTGCCCTCAGGTCCTACTCTCTCTTACTAGGGTCTTTGAGTACAAGGATAGACAAGTTATGCCGAGAGATAGTAGGAACTGCCGATGCTGGAGAATCTGAGATAACAAGGTGTAGAACTGGATGACCACAGCAGACCAAGCAGCATCAGAGGGGCAGGAAAGCTGACGTTTCGGGTCTGGACCCTTCTTCAGAAATGTTATGACAAATGTTCAGACAAGTTATGCTGCAGCTTTAAGAACTTTGATTAGGCCACACTTGGAATATTGTGTACAGTTCTGGTCACCACACTACAAAAAGGATGTGGAAGCTTTGGAGAACATACAGAAAAGGCTTACCAGGATGTTGCCTGGTTTGGAGGATTTTAGCTATGAAGAAAGGTTGGATAGACTGGGTTTTTCCCCACTGGAACACAGGAGGTTGAACGGCAACCTGATAGAAGTTTAAAAGATTGTGAATGGCACGGATAGAGTGGAAAGTATGAGGCTTTTTCCCCCAGGGTGGAGGAGTCAATAACTAGGGGACACAGGTTCAAGAAGCAAAGGTGCAGTTTAAAAAGAGGTACGTTTTTCACACAAAGGTTGGCGAGTGCCCAGAACGCACTGCCAGAGGTGATGGTGGAAGCAGACACAATAGCAACATTTAAGAAGCACCTGGAGGAATACATAAAAAGGAAGGGAATAGAGGGATACAGATCCTGCAAGTGAAGACAGTTTTAATATGGAAGGGCAAAATGTGTCAGTGTGGGCTTGGAAGGCCAAAGGGCCCATTCCTGTGCTGTACTGTTCTTTGTTCTAGTGGAAGCATCTTATCCGCGTTCACTCTATCCAGGTCTCGCAGTATTCTGTATTCTGTGTCCCCTTGTAATTGACCCTTCCACGCTGGGGAGAAAGCCTCATACTTTCTACTTTATCCATGCCACTCAATTCTGTGAGCTTCAGTCAGATCCCCTCTCATCCTTCTAAACTCCGTAAAATACAGACGACAGTCCTCAACCACACCTCAGATGACAAGCCCTTCATCCCTTGGATCATTCTTCTGAATTTCCTCTCGACCCCCTCCAATGCTGGCACATCATTCATTAGATACAGGGCTCAAAACTGCTCTCAATATTCCAAATACTGTCTAACCAAAGCCTTGTACAGCCTCAGCAGTACATCCCTGCTCTTGCATTCTAGCCCTCTTGAAAATGAATGCTAACATTGCACTTAACATGTTAATCTTAGAGAATCCTGAACTATGACTCCCAAGCCTTTTCGTGCTTCAGATCTCAAATGCCTTTCCCCGTTTAAAAAATTGTCTATGCCTCTATTCTTCCTATCAAAGTGCATCTCACACTTTCCCACTGTGTACTCGATCTGCCACTTCTTTGCAGACTCTCCTTGCCTATCCAAGTCCTTCTGCAGCCTTCTACTTCCTCAACACTAACTGCCCCTCCACCTAATTTTCTGTCATCTGTAAACTTAACAGAGCACTTAGTTCCTTTGTCCAAATTGTTAATGTATAACATGAATAGTTGTAGCCCCAACGTTGATCCCTGCGTAACTCCACTAGTCACTAGCTGCTTTCCTGAAAAAGGCCCCTTTATCCCCACTCTCTGCCTCTGCCAATCAGCCAATACTCTATCCACATCAGTACCTTGCCCCTAACTCCAAGGGCTCTTATCTTATTTAGCAGACTCCAGTATAACACCTTGTCAAAAGCCTTCTGGAAATCCAAATAAATCACATCCACTTGCTCCCTTGTCTACTTTGCTTGTCACCTCTTCAAAAAAAATTCTAACAGATAGGAGAGGCATGGTCTCCCCTTGACCAAACCGATGTTGAATCAGCCCTATTGTGGGCCGAGGTGGGCACTGGTGTGCCTGGAGCTGTTGGGGTAGGTGACACTACGCCACTAGCATTCTGCTTAAACAGAGCATAGAACGCATTGAGCGCATCAGGGAGGGATGTGTTTTTATCTGTCATCTTGCTCCGCTTCATTTGGTATCCCAAAAGGTTTAGGCCTTGCCACAGGCGGTGGGAGTCAGTAAGGTTAGTTTGGGCCTCTAACTTGGGCCAGTACTACCTCTTGGCATCTGATGGCTTTGCAGAGGTCATATCTGGATTTTCTATAAATGTCTGGGTGGTCCAACTTGAATGCTGCACGCCTGGTCTTTAGCAGGGAGTGGATTTCCTGGTTCATCCAAGGTTTCCGAATCAGGAACACCCAGACTGACTTCTTTGGCACGCAGTCTTCCTACGCATTTGCTAATGACGTCCGTAATGGTGGTGGCGTACTCGTCCAGGTTTTCCACTGAGTGCTTGAATACAGTCCAGTCCGCCGATTCCAAGCAGACCTTGAGATGCTCTTCTGCTGCCTCGGATCGGTATTGTATTTCTGTGAAGGATCCTCCCATTTCAGCTTCTGCTTGTAAGCTGGGAGGAGGAACACAGTGTTGTGATGTGATTTTCCGAAGTGTGGACAGGGGGTGGAGCGGTAGGCAACTTTGATGGTGTAGCAGTGATCTAGGATGTTTGGTCCTCTAGTGGGGCAGAAGCTCCTCCCTCTCAAACAGCAGGATGAATTCCATTATATTACGGTCACTGCCCCTAGAGGTAGTGACCGTAGGGGTCCTTCACCTTAAGCTCCCTAATCAAGTCTGCCTCATTACACATCACCTAATCCAGACTTGCCGGTTTCCTACCGCAAAATGCTCAAAAAAAAAGGCCATCTCAGACATTCCACAAATTCCTTTTCTGGAAATGTGTTACCGACCTGATTTTCTCAGTTCACCAGCATATTTAAGTCCCCATCCCAGGCAATATCCTGGTGAATGTCGTCTGCACCCCCTCCAGTACAATCACATTTTTCAACTAGTACAGTGACCAGAACTGCACACAGTACTCCAGCTGTAGCCTAACCAAACTCCTATAAAGCTCCAACATAAGAGCAGGGAAGTTACTATCTATGGCTCAACTGGTAAAGGCAAGTGTCCAGTATACCTTAACTACCCTCGTCCTATCACCTTCAGGTGATGTACCTTTGCACATTTTACTAAATTAAAAGCACTAAGTTTACATTGTTGCAAGAATGCAGCTTGGGCAAAATATTGGCCTCCAGTTAGTTTATTATATGTGCAAAGACATTTTAATTGAAAGTAAATGCGGTTTGGATGGATTAGTTTCCCTAAGGCGTGTCTCATGCCTTCATTCCATTCCAACCGAAACTCTGCTGACAGTTGTTTAAATAACATGGGTATGTGAACATTCTGTGACAGGTGATACACATGCATCAGTTACACAGAGAGACAGCTGCTTGAAGAAGCATTGGAACAGAAGGTTGAATTTCAAATAATTTTAAGTTGATAGCACAGCAATAGTAATATCCAGTCCCTTATTTTTTAAGATTTGTTTATGAGAGGTAGACAATGGCTGGGCCAGCATTTAATGCCCATTTCTAGCTGGCCTCAAGCAAAGTGGCAAACAGCCACTTTAAACTGCTGCAGGCCTTGGTAGTGTAGGTGCACCCAGTGAGTTATGAAATAAGTTCCAGGATTTTGACTTAATAGCAATAAAAAGGAGTGGTGATAGTTCCAAGGATGTTGTGATTTGGAGGTGAACATGCAGGTGGTGATGCTCTGGCAAGTTTGCTGCCCTTGCCTTTTAGATGGCATTGGGTGCGGATTTATAATGTGTTGTCAAAGAAGCCTGGG